CACATCTGGCATTCCCCTGTATCAATATGATCCTTTTAACTCTCGGAAAGATACCCAGGAGGGGGCAGCTTGGTCAGAAGGATCCTCTATTTTTAGGGTGTTCTTTGCTGAACCGGGGATTGAACTCAGGTCCTTACACCTACCAGGGAAGCGCTTATTCCACTGAGCCATCTTCCTGGCCCACTGGCTGACTTCTTTCTTTCTTTCTTTCTTTCTTTCTTTCTTTCTTTCTTTCTTTCTTTCTTCTTTCTTTCTTTCTTTTTGCAGAACCAGGGATTGAACTCAGATCCTTGCGTTTGCCAGTCAAGCGCTTATCCTACTGAGCCATCTCCCCGGCGCCTGGCTGACTTCTTGATGACAGCCATTCTTTCTGGGGTGACATGGAATCTCAGTGTTGTTTTAATTTGCATCTCTCGAATTACCATTGATACTGAACAATTTTTTTCATATATTTCTTGGCCATTTCTATTTCTTGATCTGTGAAGTGTCAGTTCCTTTCAGATGCCCATTTTTGGATTGGCTCTTTACATCTGAGAGGTAGATCAAATTTAGATCAATGATACATTTTGATTTTTAAGTTCTTTATATAATCTAGATATTAATCCTTTATCTGAGGAGTACCTGATAAAAATTTTAATGTTCTGTGGGTTGTCTCTTCTCTCTGCTGGTGGTTTCTCTTGCTGTGCAAAAGCTTTTTATTTTTATTTACTTATTCTTTGCTTTTTGAGACAGAATCTTGCTGTACAGCTCAGGCTGGCCTTGAGCTCACTTTGCGGTCCAGGCTGAGCTTGAACTCACAACATTCCTCCTGCCTCAGCCTCCCAAGTGCTGGGATTATAGGCATGTACCACCACACCCAGCTGGGGTTTGTTTGGGATTTTTTAGCCTCAAATCAAACTCAGGACCTTGCACTTTCCAGGCAGGGGCTTGTGCCTCTGTGCTATGTCCCCAGCTAAAAGCTTTCTTTTTTTTTTTTTTTGTATTTTAGGGAGGGGTCTACAGGGTGTTCAGGGTCTCACTACTAGATCAGACTCGAAGTGATCTGCCTATTTACAGCCTCCCAAGCGCTGGGATTACAGGCACGCCCCACCACGCCCAGTCTCAATTGCTGTCTCAGTGCGCCCCGGGGGCGGAACTGGCACAGCAGGCCCAGGGATCAAACCCCACTCCCACCCCTGGGCCTGCTTGCAGGCCCTTTAATCTGCTGAGCTATCTGGCCAGCCCTTAAGTTTTTAATTTAATGTAATCCTAGTTGTTGATTCTTTGGAATATTTCCTATACAATCAGGATTTTGCTCATAAAGTCTTTGCCTATACCAATGTCTTCAAGAGCTCTACCTGGGGTTGGGGAGATAGCTCAGTTGAATAAGCACTTGCCTGGCAAGCGCAAGGGCCTGAGTTCAATCCCCAGTTCCGTGGGAAAAAAAAAGAGCTCTACCTATTCTATCTTTCAGCAAAGTTAATGTTTCTGTTTTTATTTTTATTTAATTTTTTTTGCATTGCCAGGGATTGAACTCAGGACCCTGTGCTTGCCAGGCAAGTGCTTATTCTACTGAGCTATCTCCCCGGCTCTGTTTTAAAATTTAGATCATTGATGCATTTTGATTTTACTTAAGTGTATCATGAAAAATATGGATCCAGGTTTAATCTTCAGCATACACAAAGCCAGTTTTTCCAGCACTATTCATTAAAGAGGTCATCTTTTTTCCATTTAATGTGTTAGGCTCCTTTGTCGAACATCTGTTGGCAGAGTACGTGTTACAGTGACCCTCGGGTCTTTTTGTGGGTTTTTCGCCAGTAGTGTGCTGTTTGTGTCACAGCAGCTTCGTGGTATAACTTCCAACCTTGCCTTTGTTGCTCAGAACTGCTTTTGCTATTCCAGGTCCCTTCTGGTTCCAAATGAATTGTAGAATTGCTTTCTCTGGTTCCATGAGAGAGCCTATTGTTTTGGTTTTGTCTGAGATGGTCTCATCCTGAGCTCACTTTGTTGCCCAGGATGGTCTTGAACTCTAACAATTCTCCTGCTTCAGCCTCAAAAGTGCTGGGATTGCAGGTGTGCACCACCACACCAGCTTTTTTTTTTTTTTTCGGAACCGGGGGTTGAACTCAGGCCCTTGTGCTTGCCAGGCAAGTGCTTATTCTACTGAGCTCTCTCTCCCCCTGCCCGAGCTTCCTATTGGTATTTTGATTGGGATTGCGTTTAATCTGTGTAACAGTTTTGGAAGTGTGGATATTTTCACTATATTGGTTCTTCTTACCAAAGAGCAAGGGATAGCTTTCCACCTTGTAATATTGTGTTTAATCATTTTCAGAGTACTATAGTTTTCAGTGTGTAGTTCTTTCACTTTCTTTCATAGATTGATTCCTAGGTATTTTTTTTTTGATGCTATTGTGAAAAGTACGGATTCTCTAATTTGTCTCTCATTGAGTTTGATATTCCTGTGCCAAAGGCTACTGATTTTTGAGTGTTGACTTTGAGCCTGCTATGTTGCCAAATTTGGTTATTAATTCTAGAAGTCTTTTGATGGAATTTTTGACATCTTCTGTGGGGGTGTTGGCCAGAGGTGTGCTGGCTAGAAATGCTGGGATAAGGGACTTTTTTTTGTGGAACCAGGGATTGAACTCAGGCCCTTGCAACTTTTGGAGGGTCCAGAACTCCTGGAATGTGAGGCTGGAGCTTAAAAGTCAGCCTACAAGTAGGATCAAAACACACTGCCTTGGGGCCGGGGAGATGGCTCAGTAGAATAAGCACCTCAAGGAAAGGCCACTGGGGCCTCCCCTCCCCACGCTCTGACCTATCCCTTAGACTGGCTCTAAGACCAGTCATGCAGCAGTCCACGCCAATCTTCCCGTCCTTCCCGATTCTGTGCATACAACGTCCCAGGGCTTCGGCTCAAGGCTGAGCAGCTTTCCTGGAAGCTCCCTCCCATGCCTTGGAGACCTACTTCTTTTGCTTCACCCAGTTGTTTTCAAAGCATCTCAATTCCAGGTCCTGAAGAAGGCTGTACTTTGTTGTTTTTTTTTAATATTTATTTATTTTTATTTATTACATTTATTTATTGTGTGTGTGTGTGTGTGGCCAGCT